AAAAAAAAAGTTTACCTTTGTTTCCCCTATTGGATAGACATGAGAGTGAAAACCACTCTGAGAATGACCCTGAATTGCTTTTCCATGGTCCTGCCTAGTGATCTGTGGGTTTTAATGGGATTTCTTTTCATCTAAACCCTGATGTTGTGATTTGCTGGATTTACCTAAATTGTGCTTCCTCTTCCGTTAGTCCTGTCTGATCTGGAGCTTGTGGCTCAATCAATTATCTTCAGTTTTGCTGGCTATGAGACCACTAGCAGTTCTCTTTCCTTCATTTTGTATGAACTGGCTACCCATCCTGATGCCCAGACCAAACTGCAGCAGGAGATTGATGCGGCTTTGCCCAATAAGGTGAGAAGATGGTACCTGGAAAGGGAGGAGGGAGGTGGAGCCTCAACAAGACTCCCTCCTTTTCACTTCCTAGGAGGCTTTATCCAAAATATAGTCACTTATTCTTTTCACCAGCTCTTTTGAAAAGGTTCTGAAGAGAGAACTGAAAGGGAAAACACAGTATTGAGGGGAAAATGCTATTCTCAACCCTAAAAGGAATATTGAAAAGAGTGTAATTTCAGTAGTACTCATTACCAGTTACCATGATGATACCTAGGAAGTGTAAGCATGTGTCACTCAAGTGTCCAGATCATTGGATCTGGTGAACTGTGGCAAGAGCTCCTGCCTGGCTGTCTGCTGAGTGAGCCTGGGCTTGGGGGGCAGGCCGACTATGCTCTGCTCCACACATCTTCACACTCTAGTCATGTATTAGAGAGAAGCAGCCAAGGGATGAGTCAGGTTTTCTGGCTCCTGAGCTAAACACTTTACTTCTACCTTGTGTCCTCTCCAATGTCACATCAGGCATTAGACACGTGTTGTTCCTGCTGTCCTCATACCTCTTCCTAAACAGGGAGTCTATTATATATGAAAACACATGGTTTCTGGGGATTGCATGGCTGGTTTGGAAGTGAAGTAGGCACAAAGCCTCTTCTTCAGAGCTCACAATGAAGCCCTGAAGAACAACCAGGAGACTGGTCCAGAAACAGAGAGTGAGGCTGAGAGTGGTTTTCTGTCTTCCTTAGAATATTCTCTGAAACTAAAATTGTGTGACATGGTGCCATTGAATCTTAGCCTTATTTTGGTGGTATTAGGGTGAAAGTTACCAGTTTCTCCCAACATTTTTTACATGATGTAGTGTTATCTATAAGTATATATATTCAAAGAAGGATTATTCAAGAAAAAACAGATATATAATGGGTTATTTTCTCTTTTCTATGTTCTATTTCCCTGAAATAGGCATGTGACTATTCTAAGAAAGTTAACAGTGACTTTCACATTATTTTGCCTGAGTGTAATTGTCATATTCTATTAGTTACTTTTCCTTGCATGAGAAAAAGTAGTATATGATGATTCTGAGGATATTATACACTGAATTTGGGATTGTCCCAAAGGTCTCTTATGTA